TTATCAGCTAGAGAACAGGTAAGTCCTGTGTTATCTGGTTCAACATTTAATTCTTTAATCAGCCCATCATCAAGGAGCATAGAATATCTTTTGCTTCGTTTTCCACCCAATACAGGTAGATCTACAGACATCCCTATTGCATCTGAAAATTCACCTGCAGGGTCTGCCAACATTCTTACCTAATGGAATGAATGTATAATGTATATATAGCATTATTTATAACAGATTCTACATTTACTATTTCATGAAAAAATTCCTTAGGACATAGTTACGTCATTTCAAAGCGTACATATAATGGTGGAAAAAATATTTCTTTCTCAAATATTTTTTTAAATGAATTTTAAGATAATCTTTGTTGTAAAGAATTTTATAGTAAAGTACCTTGCCATTTGCTCCATGTTCTTTACCCCAAGCAGCCATAACAAAAGGATCATTAACTGCTATACAAAAGATTTCTGAAACACCTTTATTTTTCAATTCTCCAGCTTTTTGTATATACCCTGGAAGATGGGTCTAAAATGATAAACAGATTATAAAATATTTTTATAAGTTATTAAACTTATGATTTTCTGGAGAATAATATTTATTTGTTACATCATGAATTGTAGACATTAATGTATTTAAATATTATCAGAAAATGCAGGTAAAAATACAAATTACCTTCGAACATCCTGGTGTAAAAGCCCCCGGTACTGCGAAAACTACAATTTTTTTCCCAGAAGCAATTTTTGCAAGATTTACCTTGTTAGCTGGTGAATCTTCAAAAAGGTCAATTGTAGGAAGTTTGTCACCGATCTTAATATATAAAAACGTGTATTAACGCAATTTATCTTAATATGTTTAAATTTCTATTAATAAAAAATTAATTAAATTTCGAATAAACTTTGTACACAGAACTCACAGCGATAACCATGTTTTGGGCAGATGTACGAAATCCCTTTACAAGAGAACTAAGCGATGAACGTTCGCTGACGAGGATTGCTCTGTTTATGAACTGGTTCATTTGTTTATGAAGGACGACAACGTGAACCACTATTGATATCAAATAATCAACTATTTTTAACAAAATGAATTTCACTGAATCCTGTTTGTTCAACCGGCTATCGTCAACCGGCGTGATGAACAGACCATATTGCGCAACCTTTCCGACTCATTACATAAATATAATCTTTTATTCTGTACAGATTATTCTTTTTACACTATTTTTATTGGCGTAGTAAAATTCTGGAAGGTCATTATTGACACGACAATTATCTCGCCTTACACTTATTATTTTATACTACTGTCAAGGAAAATCATTTAATCGTAAATGGATTTGTCAAGTCAACTTAGATTTCTGTTTCGCTATAACACAAGTCTATAATACAGACATGAATATGATGCATAGAGCCATACACAAGATGTGGAAATAAATATAGTAATAAATGTGTTTTTCAAATTTGATATTTTGTAATGTTGAGAACCCATTACTATTGTTATCATGTTCCACATTACCGACAGTTGATAGGATAGCTAGTAGGAATAGAGTATTTAATATACTTTATAGCCTTTATAATGAACTATATATCTTTGTAAATATACCTACCTAGAAAATTATCGCGGTGAAAATCAAGTTAATATACAGGGTGTCCCACAATTATTTTAACAGCCGAAAATGAGGGGTAGCTGAGGTCATTTGAAGTAACTTTTTCCTTTGCGAAAATGCAATCCACGGCTTTGTTTACGAGTTATTAACAAAAAACACTGGCCAATGAGAGGTGACGCTGCGAGAGAGAGGGTCCGCGAGAGAGTCCGCAGCACCAGGCTTTGACAGAAGGTCGGGACGGACTCGAGCCGAGTTCGAAGTATTGAACAAGTCACGAAGCGAGAACTTTCCGGATTTTTTTTACTACATAACAGTGATATTTTTAAGAAAAACGCTGTTCACCTTTACTTTAGAACGTCTGAAGAATATTCACTAATTTTCGGACTCGAAATAATATGTAGTTTAACCGTGACAGCCGTTTTAATTTTCTGGTGTGCATGACACCTCGTGTGTACCATATGAAATATTGTTATATTGTTATATTGTTATATTGTTATACTGTTATACTATTATACTATTATACTGTTATACTGTTATATTGTTATATTATTATATTACTATATTATTATATTACTATATTACTATATTATTCGATAAAATAAATTGAACAATTCGATAGATTTATGCGAGTCTCTTGTTAATTAAACCTCGTTGGTATTTTTCATGAACAATTTAAATGATGAAATAATTTATCGGGCACCGGATAGCATTATTGCAAAATAAATTATCGCGAATATTAAATAATTGGAAATAATCGCAGT